GCTCAGTTGGTAGAGCGTCCGACTGTAGTGATTAGTAATCGGATGGTCCCTGGTTCGATTCCGGGTTGCCGGATACTTTTGGATATGCTATGAATGTAACCTTGTCACACAACCTTCACAAATGTGCCCAGTTCAGGTAGTGTGATATCCACTGTAGCCTCGAAAGAGTTTGTTCGGAGGCACGGGCCGCCTATGGAATTCCTAGTAAAAACATAACTCAAAGCGCTGGCAAAGTAGTTGGGTAAACCAACTACTAGTTTGAATGAATTTCATCTTACGGAAGCGGATATCCCAACATTGTTTGTTCGTGGAACAACGCAACTGGCGATATGATGTCACTATGGCAAAAGTGTGGGAGACCTCATGCGCGCGCGTCACGTCACGTCACCATGCCAGTCGGATGCTATCTCATTATGGGTTACCTGTGGGCCTGTAACGTTCAATTATCAAACTCACGCATTCCAGTATTACCACTTACTTATGGATACTTAGTATTACTTATCCTGAGCGGCTCAGGCTGGGACGATGAATCATCGTCGATGATATCAGTGCTGTTCCCGGGTTTCAGCTACACTACACTGTACCACGGTACTAGCAGCGCGTGTTGAGCGCAGGATCGGGAATGGAATGTTACGCTATACGGATGATGCGTTGAGGATTATCTAGAGAGTCTGCTAATGTCCAGTGTGTACTGGTAAGGCGCAGAGCATGAACATACCATACCATTAGATATCGAATTCCTAATTCGTCAACGACTCGCCCTCCAGCGTTCGGACATCTCGCAGGAGTCCGATAAAATTCTCTACAGTTTGATACTCGCGGGACCATAACAGAATATAACATGGGCTCCGCTAGCTCAGTAGGCAGAGCGTGTGGCTGTTAACCACAAGGTCGGTGGTTCGAACCCATCGTGGAGCGCCTTATCGTCATTGGTCTGCTGTTGCCCAATTTCCTATTGCGTACAGTAGAGATGGCGATCACGATTCCTAATTAACCAACAATAGCTCAGTTGCAGATACCGCCAAATCGCCTACAGCGTGTTTCCCTAGTGGACAACGACACAAATCGAGAGGGCAGACGGCCTTCATTGCACCGGCTGCTGAAAGGTTATGAAAACAAAGTGGTTTAGAACCGCAAGGGGCTCGCCGAGGGCAAGCTGTCGCACGATCACTCAGAGCCGTCGGTGACCGCGGTCTCCTAGTGAGCTTGAATGCGGTTCCTGAAAGTTCCAAAATTGTGCACAAGGGTTCGCGGACTTGCAAGAAAGGCAGTTTGCCTAAATCCATTCTTCTACCTGATTTCCCCCAAATTCGGTTAGCCAGCTCGCCTAGGGCGATATGGAGTCGTCCAAACCAATATACTTGTGAAGGAGCTTGTTCTCATGAAGACACTCAGGCAACTACCTTCACATCACTACGCCCAGCATCATCCCGTCGTCTCCCGGACAATAAGACATGTCCTTAGGCCAGGAGAAGTGAGATGCTCCTCTGAGAGCCTCTCTTAGACCCCGGATAGAGTACATACAGTATCAGAAATATGAGTCGAACGCATCAGAAGTGTATGAGTTGCCGGCATGCAATAAGTAGTGCTATTCAGAGATAACGGCTGCAGTTCAACTGTACGTTTGGGAATTGGAAAAACGCTACACGTGGCCGAGGCACTCGAAAGCAACGACAAGGACATGAGATTATCAGGTAGCATCAGCTGTCTCTTGTTCATCAACTTCCACAACAGGTTCGAGATCCTCCAGACCCCAATGCTCTAAGGACTTTTCCCATTCTGCGGACCGCCTGTCCTCGGCTTCCTATAAATACACGAATATGGCTATCGCGCAGGGATTATCACTTCCAGCTTATCCAGATGGTCGAGTGCATTCCTTCCCAGATCCGAGAACATCGAGCAGGTCGCGCTGTACTTATCGTTGCGAGTCCGGAGAACCGTCTTGTGAGCCTCCGATCGGTAACTGCTACGTACTGATCGATTTGCCGACATGTGGCGAAATGCTACGAGTGAACGCTCCTTTCTTCAGCGGCTTTCACTTCCGGAACCCGGAAATCATCTGTCTCCTGCTCCTCAGAATTCTGCGCATCTGTGAGGGAAGAAGCCGTTCAACTAAAATCAACGTTCAATAGACTCACCGTCCTTTTGCACGGGCCTCGGGCGGGACCAGGCTTCTGCATCGGGAATAATCATGCTTCCGTTGACGCCTTCCCATAATCTCGAAGGTAGCGATCTGGGAACTTCACCGTCCAACCCGGTGAGAAGATCCTATATCTCACTCTCCACTTTGATCGATGGGCTCTGTCTCTCCGGCATCGCGCATTCTCATGAGCCTCTTCAGGGACATCCTCCTAGGGACAGTGTCTTCAACACCTGCTCTCATTGTATTCTTTGTGCAATGGGGACAGTTCCGCGCAATACGGGCGGCCGGATCCACACGATCCTCTTGCCAATGCGAAGCTTACCTGGTATGCTGTCAAAGAGTTCTCCCCACGGTACCGAGTCCAGGTGCTTCAATATGCACTCGAACGCCGCGTCGAACGTTTCACAAGCTGCAAGTCCCCCGTCAACCAAGATCTTGAATGCTTCGGCTCGTGCAGCGTAAAGTGCCTATACGAACAATGTAGCCTGACAACTGCACTCCGGAATTGCCACCAATAAGCTTTGGCCTTATAAACATGCTAAATCACAGGATAAGCAGCCTTACTGTCGATGCGGAAAGGTGCCGCACTGTCTCTCGTCTTTTCAGCTTCACCAGTGCCAACTCCGACTCTAAATCTGGAGTTTCCAGCCGACCGATTCTCTCGAGCGTCTTGAGATGCTCACTGTGCCTGAGGTTGAGCCAGTGGTATAAATTTATCGGAAAATTTCCTCTCGTGCTTTTGGGCTACAGGCAGCGATCGAGTCGATCGGATCGACTAAAATTGTGACAACTCAAGCCATGTCTCCATACAGGTCTGCTCAGAACAGACGTAACCTACTTCTTATCAGATCTCTCACATAGCCCGGAACACCTGTCCATCGCAGCTGTCAAGGCCGATTCTAACTGCGCCACAGCATCACTCTCACTAAGGGAGACCAAGTACAGCATGTCATTCTAGCCGCTTTGCATCCCAACGCTTACATTGCAGTGAAAACTGCCAAGCTGGCTTGTGGAATAACATCATTTCTGAGCTGCAAGCACGTAGCCTTGAGTTGGGCTAAAGCCTCGGCTCGCAGACTTCCAGTGTTCGACCGCACCTTCACAGCGCTCAAACCTGGCGCTTGTTCGGTTGCAAAGCTTACATGATTTACGTACTCCTTGAGATAGTATGGCAGATCAGCAGCGAATCTTTGTGTCAAGCTCGCAATTGAAGCCTCAACCTCTCCCGGAAACCTTCCAGAAGGCAGTAAAGAGAAGTCTAGCCAATTCGGTCTTTTCTGTTACGTTTTCTGTTCCCCGACGCTCAACACGCCGACTACGGCCTTCAGAGAATCGGATCTGATGGAGGCTTCATCAGGGTCGGACGTAGGATCAAACTGCCACGGGAGGCGCTGCAGCACTCTGCACTGCGGAGCTTTCTTCAATGTAAACCTGACCGGCTGAATCTGGGAAGTGGATCACCGATTCCCGACTTCTCCCGTTGTTGCGGCTTGAGACCTTCCAACCTCTCAAGCATGGCAATCACAGATGCGATGAAGATTGACTAAGAAATGTGCGCTAGGGTGTAAAGGCGACTCAGTCTACGTTACCAGGGATCCTCTTATCTCTATATCCAGATAAGGCGTCCTCGTCACCAGTAGGTGATCGCGGGGGCAGCCTGGTACAGAACTGATCTGAAATACTTTGATGAATATAAACCGAGACGGACGAAATATCTATTATGGGAAAGGTAATGACTGACGTTTGAGGAATGCATGTGATTGAGTATATTTTCCAACAGCTACGAGTACAACAGTTCCAACAGTAGGCGACCCTATCAGAGTGTAATGAACCAATTAGAAATCGATTAAGTCTCATTTCAATTCTCTCCTTCTAGTCTCCGCTTTTCCAATATAAGCGGAGCACGCAGTAATGATGTTGTCGTCTCCAGCGTTGTTAAACGCGCTGCGTCTCTTTGATTAGATGACACTGAATTCTATCACCACCACACAGCGATTGAATCGCCCAGCATACCTCTGATACACTCGATGAACCGATCAGCTTTGTTAAATAATTACCAAGACTCAGAATCTTCGACAGGGCCTCCGTAATAGGGCTGCTGATATCACGAATCTGACACCCCGGCGGACTTGCACTAACAACACATGCACTGTCGCCCCCACCCACCTTCCCCTCAAGTAGCCTCCTCGCTGCAGTATGCTCCTGTCCGAGACCATAACGGTTCTTCATTTCCTCGAGCACCTGCAGTACTCCTGCAGCATCAGCAGCAGCGGCAGCAGTTCACTAGCACCTCCGTTCTTTCAGCTTCGAATACACCCAGAGCCCCCCCCACCATTTTATCCATGGCTGCTTGAATCTCGTCTATTCGCATTCGTCTGAATCTCACCAATGTGCGGAGCTATCAGCGCACCCCAAGCGACCTTATAGCAGCCTTTGCCAATAGAGATTCATTCAGCTTGCGTGTCTCTTCCGCATAGAATCTAACAAACCAGAACCATATTCTCCGTCGTCCGCTGGGTCTTGACGATCGCTCAACCGGCAAGCTGCCCAGCTCAGTGTAGCGGCCTCTGTCAGAATCAGGCGCGGCGGGTTTAGTGTGGGGAAAGTCTGATTGGCTTGCCATGAGCACCTGTGCCCTACTCGATCTCTGGAATGCTATATCCCTCCAACGTCTGCTCCTTCTGAAGCCGGATCACATCGTTATTCGCGCTCACCAAGTTGTCAACCTGTCTCGTTGTGCTTGTAAGATAGACGGTTTTGGACTCACTAAGGGACCGGAGAAGTTCTTCATTTCTCCGAGGGCTTCGCGGCATGATCGTCGGAAAGCATCTCCTGCAGAGCGCAATTGCCAGCTCCAGCAGAAGCTCAGGCGTTGAACGTTGTAAACAGTTGCGCAATGGTATTCAAGCTTCAACGTCAAAGAGAATTGAAGGTGGCAAATTTGCAACATTTCCTATCTGACTAATAAGAGGTAGCTATCGACAGTTCGACCGGCTTCCCATGTGTGACGCGGCTACCGCATCTCTCACTCACCAGCATCCTTAGATTGTCTCTCCAAAGCTTTAAGCCCTTCTAGGGTTGCATCAGCATTAGAAGCCTTTGTTTCAGAGCTTGCGGCCTTCAACTCAGACAGAGTTTGCGAATGTTCGCTGATAGAAGCGTGGAAGCTGAAATGCGACTTTCAAAGGCCAAATTGGATGTTCGTGGTAAAGGAATGCCTTCTACAGCACACCTCTGTGGAAAGTACAGGGTGAGCCTCTTACCGTTGATCGGCCTCTATCACGACGTCTATCAAAGCGTTGAACTGTTCATCCTGTGCAGCGGACTTTCTTGCTATACCGATAATGTGGCGCTCGAACTTTCTTTTGTGGGAGATAATTTGCTTCAGCCGCGGCTCGTACCACTAAGAAGCACACTCCAGGCAGCTTGGTAGAGAGCCAGCTGGGCATGAAATGCATGAAGGCAACTGACCTCTGATCGAACAAAGCCCTTCCTCGTCGCATGCCTCCTTAAACGCTCATCAAGCTCGCAGCTGAGCTCCTCAGCGCCCTAAAAGCTTGTCTATCTCCGGTGACTTATAGCCTCTATACGCATATCAGTCATGTGATAAGTGGTACCACTGGAACTTAGCCAACCCCGAGGCTACCTTCCTTGCTGCATTGTTACTTGCTTGCAATAACACCTCGGCCTCAGTTTGCACTGACTCCATCAATTTCAACCGAATAGTATGTATATATTCACACAGCCATTCAGCTTCAACGTGCACCTTCCAACA